GTTTCCTTAAAGTCAGCCCGGGTTTATTTCCTACTTGAGATTTCGTAACATGGAGTTTTTTACAGGGTGGGGTTGTTGGCCCCACGCCCAACCCCCAACCTGGAGGACCAGGGTGTTCCTCTTCGTCTGGTGTCTCCCCTCCGACCAGTCCGGCTTGGGTGACCCTGCCAGGAGTTGGAGCTCCCGCCGGCTTAGCTCTCGGGATCAACAACACACACAAACCACAACACCACGTTAAGGTGGGAACACCATCGTGTGGAAATATCAAACTATATCATTAAAAATCGGTTTATTTATAATTTAACGAATTAAAATTCTTTGCATTAAAATTTAATATGTAAACATTATTTTTTAAAAAAAGCAAACCTATAAGGCACAGACATATAATGCACTACATTCAAACATATAAAACCTATAATATCGTGATAACTAAATCTTTATTTTTTTCATTTTTGATAATTTTAGCTTTTTTTTGTTTTTAAAGAAATATGACAAATATATTACATGAAACTAAATTTTTCAAGTAATATCAACTAAGTGAATTTGTAATTTGTTGTACAAAAATTATAAAATTTTTTAACTTTTAACTGCAAACCAATAATATACTATTAACAATCGATTTTATAATACCTTCTGAATTCCACAGTTTTACTAAGCTGTATGGTGAATAAATTTTAACATAAGCACTAAAGTATGCACTTTTCATTGACCAATAAAACGCTTTTATTGAAAACTCTTCTATTCTGATCTATAATACAGACCATCAGACTAGTTCTGATTTATGGTTCAAATAGAGCCTCTAACTGAGGCCTCTGCAATAGGAACTGAAAATGGAGAACAAAAATAGCAGTTTTCGAAAAATGAGGTTCTTAAAAGTTTTTTATAATTTTTTTTGTTGCTAATTTAATTAAAATAGCCTCTGACGAAGACATTTTAACTCAGAAATTTATAAATTTATTAAAGAGCCCGATACCATCAAGAATATTAAAGTGAGATAAAATAAATTAGCTTTGCTTCTGATATTATCAGGAAGAATGGATTAAAAGCAGCCGTTTACTAATGGAGAAAGACGAAGGCCAAAACCACTATGAGTCGATTCGGTGGTATCAGATTTAAAGTGATTGGATAAAGGATTGACAGTTCAATTCAAATAGTATGCTGTCTTGAAGAAATATTCAGCAGAAGTCTTCGCCCCACCCTGGGAAGTCGTGTCAAATTTGATAGTAATGTGTGCTACATTATTGCGTCATCGATAATTTATTTAAAACAATTCAATTGCTGATTTGAAAAATGAAATAGATTTGACATGTCAACGAAAAGCATTCGGAATAAATAAAATTCTAACCATGATATAAATTTATAATAAATGAGTTACTTACTTTCATAAAAAGTTGTTTTGGTTTTAATCAGCAATCATTTTCATTAAAATTTCATTAGCCAATTCCATATTCTCTTTCATCCATTCTGACCAAAATGAGGATGAAATTATTTCTCGCTTATTTGCTCTTATAAAATCGAATGCAGACAGCTTCAGTTCTGGATGATTTACCATTTCAGCAACAGAAATTACATGGCAAATGTTTTCCACGCTCAATTTTGAAATCAATATTTGTGAGCCTCGTTCTTTCAGGCTGTCAACTTGGTATTTATCAGCCACTAGCATCAGTTTCAAAACTTCCTCGCAATCGGTAACGGTTATCGCGTCAGTATACAGAAACTCTAAAAATGATTGCAGAGTATCACTTTCCACATCTGGAATATCAACAACACCAGTCTGAGTTTCCAACATATCTTGATCGAACATGGTGGAGAACACGGGAGATCGGGCTGAGAGCAAGCATTTGTGAGCAGCTATCATCTTGTCACGTGTCTTCAATTTTACGTTGCTATGCCTGTCGTTCAATAGCATTTTCTTGAGATCTTTTTGCAGAGTTAATGGAGAAGCCTTTATACTTGGAAAAGAATGATCCTGCTTCCAATTCTCTGCACTTGAATCTGAATTTTCATCCGAAGTTGTCATGAAACATACCAGAGTGAACGAATACGGTAAGTGAAAGCATGACTTGTCCATGAGTTGACTTTTTTCAATCCAAGTCTCAAATTTCTGGTTTTCGACGATTTTTTTTGGCAATTCACAATCTATTTTACGATTTTCATTATTCAATATTGCGATTTTCAGTTTATAAGGTTGAAACGAATCCACTTTTTCAATTTTTATGTTGATTCTCTCATTGGAAGCATGCATAATAATATCTATATGACTGCATTCATGAAATGGAACTCTTATTTTCTTCGTCCAGTTTTCAGGACCA